TATTTACAAAAACGGGACATCCATCTTCTCCTGAATGCGTCTTCTTGAACTTTCCTGGATATTCATTGACTCCAATCATTCATTGCTCAAATCAAAGCAAACGCTACAAAGCAACTCCACAAATTCCGCAACAGATCTCCCTTTTCAAGAGACTCAAAGCGAATTTACAAGAAAAAACATGCTACTCGCATACCTCCCCATCAGTAGTATCACCTTTGCGCTATGAGTAGAACTTTGTGCGTTCTTGGGAGGGGGCTTTGTCCAATATCTGCCGATCGCTACTTTGTCGTCTGACTGCACATGATATGAACTGCTTTTGAACTGAATCCCGTTGTCTGGTTGCAACATTTTGACGCGGCGAAATGCACCCATTTGCAAAGCAATTTCGTCTTCACAGGAGACCCAACTGAATCTCTCGTTTATGATGTACCGCACAAAGGCTGCCTCATGTTCCAGTTGTAGCGATACACCATCATTGTAAAGACCAAATTGGCATGCAAATAGTGTATTTCTTCAAGTTCGTATAATCTGGGTTCAACTGGGTTGGAAAAAACTCGGGGACTGCGCCTACCTGATGGGCCCCAAAGAGGGCGATACCGCTAGCGCGCCGTCAAAGAGTTTTCAGCAACCTTATGAGGAGGTCTGCTCACGGTAGACAACGATTGCTGTATTGAAAGTTTTCAAGGTCTCAACCTCATCAATCTGCTCTAACGCGATGTTGTTTCTGGGTCTGCTCAACCATGTCCACGACGGCTGTTTGTCAGGCCGGGTTGGCCTATAAGACAAAAACAGTGGACCTTTTGACTGCTTGAGCTCAAGATGCCTCACTGGCTAAGGCGCGAACATACGGATCGAAAAGTTCATGGTTCGAACCCAATCTCTACATCTCGACCGCTTCTGTCTAAGCTTGGGCAACCTGATAGTATCCCTTCGGGTGACATACCAGCCTAGACAGGAGAAGTTGTGGTCGGGTTCGAACCACGGACTTTCCGATCAGTAAATTCGTGGTCTAACGACTGAGCCATCTTGAAGCCAATAATAATACGGTCACGCTCAGTTCCTCTGACTTCTGCATCGTCCCCTACCCCACACAAACTATGACTTTCAATCAACAGCCTCTGTTGCATACTTAAGGTAAGAACCCAGTTGCAGTGGAACGACTTAAAATGGATACACGGCAACATAGTGCCACACCACAGGGGTGTTTAACAGAAACTCATTCACTAACTTAAGAAAAAATAGCATCAGACAAATCGACATCGTCGGAAAGATTAGTCTGAGCATGTGACAAATTAACATTCAGCAGTCACCTAGTGGCAAGCACATGCTCCGCACATGTGCAGTGCCAAAGGACGGCGAACACAGACATGTCACGTGGCCAAGTCACCTTTGATCCAGTCCATGGCACTGTGCGATTTTGTGCTGTCGGAATCCATAGCAAAGCGCCTGACGGATTCCAGATAGGCGCGATCTACGTTCGTGAGACATGGCACTGTGCGATTTTGTGCTGTCGGAATCCATAGCAAAGCGCCTGACGGATTCCAGATAGGCGCGATCTACGATAGAACTAACATTCATTGATCCCTGGAACAATCGCATGAGCTGGTCTTCCTCGAGTATCCCGGCTGCTCAGTTTAGTCGATAGGGCCTGAATACCATAACTAAACTGCTCGAACGTCTTCTCTTCAGCGTCGCACGCTTCCAAGTTGCCTTTTTGATAGCACTGATTCATTCAAACTTGCTTACCATCCGCGATGGATAGACGTTCAGTAAATTCATGCGCATTCGTTCACTTCATTTGTAGTTCAAAAATATGTGCTCAAAAGTGCAGTTGACCGCAGTTGGCTTTGCATCTTGTCGATGTGGTATCGTGACAAGGTGCAGTTAGGCCACACGACGAAAAAGCGCACAGTAGGCTAACTTGTAACAATCTGATGGACTGGCTTCATGGTCCGTTCTCCGTTCTACGACAAAGTCACAAACAGTAAACGACCTTTTATTTGTATGTGAGCAAACGAATGATGGTTGACTCATGCATGTTTTTCAAAGTCACCGTACGTTTGCTTGCGGCTTGAATTCTCAAATGACAAGAATGACCATCGGAGTAACTAATACCTCCGGCCATCAGCATATGGGAACTAAGGAAATCGCTTCACGGATGCTCTGTGCATTTGAAAAGGTAAAATTGGATTGGAAATCAATATCTTCAGAGGTTTCAGTAAATGCGTGATAGATTATTTTACAGCTGGAATAAAAATAAAATTCGGGGTGACAGATAGTTACCTAGAGCACTCGCCACCCACCAACTCAATTCAGCAGCGAAGGTCGCTAGGATTTGAATATGTCCGAATTCATACATATTTTTGTAATGCACTACTCATAAGGTTGCTGGAAACTCCTCGAGTTTCCGTACAAGTAGAACATAAGGTTGACGGAAACTCGGGGACTGCGCCTACCTCATGAGCCCCAAGAAGAG